CCTCACTGCCGTGGCTGCCGCCCACACTGGTAAAGGGACACAGCAGCTCCAGGTCTGATGCAGGAGCCCCCATTCGGGGAGGGGCCTGCCTGGGAAGGGGCAGAAAGGAGTAACGGGCATGCCATCTCTTTGGGAAAGCTGTCCCCAGGGGCTGGTCTCCTGTAACCTTTACCCCTCCGGCACAGACATGTGTGCCTCAGTTTCCTCTTGAGAAAACTAGGAAGCACAAATATTTACAGAGTGAAAGGGCCCAGGGGAGGGTGCCAATGTCTCCACTGTTAGCTGGAAACCCTTGGGAAGTGCATGGTTAGCCTGCGGCCCCCTGAGACCCACGCAAGGGACGAGGGCCAGCTCCAGCATACATCCCCACAACAGGGCCACGGCAAGAGCGGGGCTAACAGGGGCTGTGTCAGGGGTGTCTCTGCTGAGAGGAGGAACAGAGCTCTCTTTCTCACAGACTGAGCCATCCGCACCAGAAATGCAAGTTATTTCTATCCTTAAGGAGGACCTTTGCGTGGCGAGGAGGGCAGACAATGTTCCCTCTTATTTACTGCTGACCTCAGCACCGGCCTCGGCTGCAGCAGGTCCAGCTTGGTGACCCCTCTCACACAGCCAAGGTGCCTCGGGGTGGCCAGGGAAAGGGGAATTTGTGTTGTATTCATACCATAGTGTCTTTGAAACTGCTGCACTGTGGAGGCAGGACAATAGGCAACAGAAATTTGCAGCCTGGAGCTATCAGAGGCGAAAGGGGATGTTAGAGAGGCTGTCGGCCACTGCTGCAACCCGGCATTAGCATTCACAAAGGTTTCTGCTTCAGTTTTACTGGGACAGCCTCCTTCTCCTCTACAAACGCTTCTGCTCCAGCTCTTCCAGGCAGCACGGGGCCTTCCTGGGACTAATGGGAGACTTGTTATTCAATTCAGCGTTAACCTACAGGAGTCAGGCCAGCAGCCCGCAGTAATAGCAGGATCCCGGCACTGCATTATGCAGTGCCTAGCTGGAGAGCTACTCAGGAGAGGCTCTTAATTGACTACCTAATGAAGCAGCCAGCTTTTCTGGTGTGAACCTGTGGGGTAAAACACGGAGGCAAAAACTAAGGCCAGCATAATGCTGCAAACAGGGATAAGGGTGTACTTCATTCCAAACAGCTTGAAAGACAAATAGATAAATAGCGAAAATAACATAAGCTCTGAGCTGGGGGGAAAATCACAGACTAAACCCGGAGTCAGGGACTGTCCTCTAGAGACAGGAGAGAGACATAACTATGTCACTGCATTAGACAACAGTTTCTTCATGTGGGGCTCTTACCGCATTTGGCATCTTTGTCCACAGTTTGGCTGACAGCAGCAAACACAATGATCAGCTTTTTATAAGGAAGCTGCAAATAATCAGCGGGAGTCATGCTGGCTTCAGCAGCACGGACCAGCCCGAGAGGAGACTTTGATGCCCAGAGATGGAGAGCTCAGGCCAGCCCTGCCAAACCAACTCACAAAGTGAGCAGCGGGGAGGCTGGACCAGCCAGGGCAGGCGGCTCTTTTGTCAGCCCACAGACCGCTGACTGATACCCATCAGGGGATTCAAAGACTGGTATGCAGCTGTTTGTATGCAGATTGCTCCTCTCTCACACCGTGATAAGGGAAATTTAGCACAAGGTGTGGAAATAAACGCTTAGTTGAAAAGAGTTGGTTTTTTGGGTCACCTTTAAGAAAGAAAGAAGCTGCAGCCCTGCTGCCATTACTGATGCAGACAATGACAATTCGATGACCTTTAAAGCCGGTGACAGCCTTGCAGGCGACCCTAACAGCTCGGACAGAAACTTTGCCCGTGGCTGCCTGCCTACAAACAAAAGGCAGGGTTTGCTCATACTGCGGTGGCCCCGCAGCCAGCACTGCCCACCGCCCTCCCCGATAGCCCCAGGGGGCACAGGGGCCGGGCAGGCGGGTGGGCTGGGGCTGCTCCCCACCACAGGCTCATCCCCGCTCCTGTGCCAAAACCTGCCTTGCCAGGCTGGATTTCATGGGCTGTGGCTGGAAGAAAGCATGGCTATTTCTGGAGAGGATGGCTGCCTGCAGGGGGTGGTGGTGGCAAAAGGAGCCCCAACACCACTTCAGACTTCAGGGCAGCTCCGCAGGGACCTACATCAAGGGACACAAACTCAGCTCCAGCTTCTACCCAACATCCACTCTCTCCCAGATCAGCCCTTGCTTCCTCTCTCTCTCTACCAGCAGCAACAAAATCTCCTTTTCCCATGAATTTGCCCCTTTGCTGTCTCCTACCCAGGCAGACAGGGTTCCTGCCCATCATCCCTTCCCACAGCTACACTCGGCCTGGCCTGGCCACCTCAGCCAGCTGGACCCCTCCACATCGCCCCATGCCCTGACTCACGGCAGGGACCCGATGTGAGGACCGGCACAACCCAGCGTGGTCTTCTGGGCTGAGAGGGGGTGTGTACAGGGAACGACAGGCAAGGGAGGCTGAGGTAGGTCAGCAGTCTTCCCACCTCAACACAGGCATTCCTTGCCATCCTCCATGCTGGCAACTGGACTCGTCAAACCCCAACAGTTGGATGAACCACTAAACTCTTTCAGGACCAATCTGCATACTAACCATTAACAGCAGTGGTGAGCTGGCTACACCACAACAGCTCAATGGCCAGTTATACAGCCCAGGCAACCACCAGCAACAGCACTTTCCTCATCCACCTGAACGTCCAGACACCTCCTCTATCACCATTTCACAATGAATGTGGCGAGTCCCATTCCTCCCATTCCCATCCTCTTGCAGCAGAGTCTCCACATTCACATCTACCTGTGACCAGGTTGTGGGCTGCCTGCACACCTCTGTCTGCTGCACAGCTGGGCTAGAGCCCCTGGGCACTTCTGTCTGTGCTCCCTGCCTTCCCTTTGAGGAGGCTGGGTAAGCGACCCTCCTTTCTGGTTTTTCACCAGGCACGGGCATTTTTTTCGTGCTGGATGCAATGACGTGAAAGCTGCGTGTGTGTTTTCTTCCAATGCACCACCAAAGGAATGTGGGCACAGGGCAGGCGCCTGCGTTCCCATGCAAAACACACTCTTGTTCCCTCGGCGTGCAGGCACACCTCTCTCACCCCCACCCCCACAGAGCAGGTTTTATTTTCTCAAGCCTCCTTCTTCCCAGACACAAAATTCTGGCAAATATTTAGACAGAAACACTATTAAAAGGCCTTTGAACAGCTTTTCCTTTCCTCAAGAATAGTTTGGTATTAAACAGAATTATGAATAGTTCCTCTTATATCTGCCTGGAAAGGCGCTGTCTCAGCCCTTGACAGCACTGCTCACAGCAGTCCCTTGAAAACCAGAGCTCCCCAGTTACAAACCCCGCTTCCAGGGAGAGAAAACGCACCATCATTGATCAGCCCTGAATCGCAGCTCCACAGGAGGGGGAGCTCCATGCACTCCTAACAGAGGGACAATCCCCTCTTAGCCCTAACAAGCTCCACACATGCCAGAGAGAAAAGCTGTATGTTTCTAGTCCTTGCTCTCTACAAGAGAACATTTAAGGAGGAACCCTGCTTTTGATGCCACACTGTGATCCAAAAATGCACTATCATGGATCACTAACATGTTTACCTTCCTGGAAATGGGATGCAACAGATTTGCTTAAATTTTAAAAAAAAAAAAAAGCCCCTCATCTCTGGACAACATGCTAAAAATCATATTGAAAAGGTGGCCAGAGACATCTCCTTGTGAAGATCATCGTGGCAAACAGCCTGGCAGACAGGCACTGAGTCAGACACTCACCTGTCTTGTAGATCTCATAGCGCAGGGAGAACCCGGCACCTTGCCGTGCGTAGTCCGAGGTGAACTTGATATAGAGAGATGGGCCAGAAGAGACGATGGTAGGAGGTGCTATATTCCCACAGTGCTTGCCCAGCAGGTCTGCTGCTTCACTGTCCCCATCTCGGATCTCAATGTAGTCGTACCTGTGGAGGCAGGTGAAATGGCAGTAAAACCGTCTGTCAGGGAGATGCTTCAGGATACCAGGAACAAACACAAAACACTTCTTTATATTTGCGTATTTCACAGAACATCTTCCAGACAGGTACCCAAGACTCTGGTCACTCACACCACACCACACACACCCCAATACATTTTTTCCCTTGTATCTGTCTGGCTACATTTAAGTCCCTTCCTCTGTTGCTCCTCACATCAGTAATTTATTGCACCCACATCCACTTCAACTTCAGAGCCAACATGCAAAAATTAGGACACAATTTACCTCCATTTCCACAAGATTCCTTTGGCATAGGAGAAGCTCAGATACAATCTGCTGGGGCTGCTCTCCTTTCCTTACCTCTCTCCTTAAGTGTCATTGTGCTACTTAGCACAGCTCAGTTTATTCCACTACTCAGGTGGGATTTGGCCAAGCACACACCAAGCATTAAACAAATAGTCAATGTTCAATCCATGTGAGCGGGTAGCTATTTTGTGTACTGTGTGATACCACATTGATCCTTTAACAAGTGTGGTCAGTACACTTAGTATATTTTCTGTGGATGAGCAGTGCTGTGTAAGAGCTGGGTAACCACGTTCATTATTGCCTGATCCTTGTTCACTCTGTAACCGCAACCTGCCTTCGCTAAACCCTACCTGGACATGTCCCACCTGCCCACTGGCATGGCTCCTGGGCATCTGAATGGGCTGGGGGAGCAATGTGTAGGGTTGGAAGAATTGCCTCCTGATGCAGAGACAAGAGCTTGTTGCAAAGTCTGGCTGGAAGGTGAAACTCCCACAGATTCCTTCATGTTTTCTAGGCCATGACTAATGGTAAGGTAGTATCAGGCTCTGTGTGCTGTGGAGAAACAAACAGCTTTTACGCGAACATCTTGCTCTTCAGCTGCTCTCTAACACCCATGCTCTCCCACCCCTCTTCTCCTCTCTGACCAGCATACTGCTATTTACAGAGACTGCCCATCTCTCTTCCACTGTTTATTTCTCTTTGTATCAACCTGTTTGAACAACATGCTACAGCTCTTCTCATGGGGCCAGGGAGGGAAAAGGCATTTCCAGGCTGCCAGGAATCTGCCTTTCTTCTTTGTCACAAGATCTCCTGTTTGGGAAGGGAGAGTTGAAAGGAGAAGTAGCTTGCTGGATACAGAATGATTCTCATGTGACTCATTCCTGTTCTGCAAAGCACACATCGGCAGGCAACAACCTCAAAACAAACTTACAGGGACTCAGTGTGCTCCTCCACAAAGAAAGATGGCCCAGACAGCTTTCGTTTCACTCCTTTCTGGGACTAAATCAGGCTCAGAGCCAGAAGCAAAATGCCTGCAGATAAAATCCTGTCTACGCTGGACCTAGCACTCAGCTAGCTGCAATCACCCAGCCTTTAACTTCATTACAGACTCAATTGGCTTGGCCAAGGTGAAATCCAAGTGGTCTTCAGAAGAGGCACTTGCACAGGAAGGGTGTTTCACTTGGCTGGTGGGTGGGTGGACACACAGTGATGTAAATGAAGATCTGTTCCCTCTGCTCTCTCTTCAGCTCTGTGTAGCTCCTCATCACCTCATGACCCCTCATTACCCTGACACCATCCAGCACCGCCCTGCGTGACCCCACTAATGTCCATCATGTGTGGCTTGATCCCACCGTCTCCCCAGGGAGGAGGAACAGAGAGGGCAGCGTTAGTGCTTCTTTTAAGTAGAATTTTTTCCTCCTTGTTTGTCTATTTGTTTAAAGTAGTGCTGAGCAAACAGCGGGGACATTTTGTTCTCTAAATAACCACTTGCTTGCAGTGTGCTTGCAGTCCTTCCACATCCGAAGTACACATCTGTGCCGCAGGACTACTGGCTACTAGTGAAATTGTGAATATGTGGCAAAAAATTAATTTGGCAAAAACATGTTGGCAAAACACCATTAAAGGAGCGGATTGTAAAAGCTGCCATTTGCATGGCACAGGCAGAGGTTAGCTCCATCCCAGGGAATCACATCTGTTTGTGTCCTTGTGGGGTTTTAACTCGCCAACACAGTGAATGGCTTCAACTACTTGACTGTAATGATCACAGCTTCTGCTGTAGCCAACACACCAAGCATCCTAGTGCCGTCCACATGGCTCCTCAAAACACCCAGTGCTGTAGGAGCCCTGGTAATTTCAGAAGCAAATTCTGGACCAAGAAATATTTGCTTATTGAATGGGTGAATAACTTCCAATAACACAATTTGGGAATATTGCAATCTGCTCATGGGCAATCTGCAAATGGAAAATTAAAAGAATGAATCTAGTAAGTAAATCATCAGGAAATATTTGCCTCTGAATTAAACCCTATTTGGCTTCATCCAAGCATCTAACTGAGCTTTCTCCTACTGGAGCTAATCCTTAATAAATCAAATGTTACAAACAACTAAAAAAAGCCCCCAGGAGAAAGTCAGGGAATCCTTTTTGCCAAATGTAAAATGAATATAAATGCATTAAGAGTTTTCTTCCCTCGTTAAAAAATCTTGGCCCAAGCCCTCTGCTCCTCATGAGGCAAAACTCTCTTTCTTCAGGTCATATAAACAGAGATTGTGAATTGGGAGATTATTACACTCAGGAGATAACTCCTGCCCAGATGAGCAGGAGCACCTACTTCCTCTCCAACATAACAATTAAGTTTTAGGCTTCCAAAATGAAATACCAAAGACATCCAGTCCAAACCGTGAAACTTTCAAACTTCAGCAAGAACACCGGCTAATCCCCACCACAGACTCTTTTGGCATCATGTGCTTCAGTCATGTCCATGCCTTGGCCCACAATCAAACAAGTTGATGAACCCCATTCTCCTCACGTTGGGTCACTGGCCATGTTAAAATCTAGTTTGGCCAGAGCTTTGCTTCTATTAAGCTTAAGCATGGTTTCCAGACTTTTTTCTTCCCGTGTGAAAAACAAGAAGAAAAATTGGAAGGAAGAAAACCAACCCTGGGGATGCTTCTACTCTAATCATTTCATTTCCAGATAATTACAGACTAGGGCACAGCTGGGTGGGATACATTTATGCAGCAATGGCATCCAAACTGTCTTGACCAGTGTCCAGCAATTTGTGTTTCACTCATATAACCAAATCCATTGTTTCAGTCAACGTGCACCAACATCCTTGTAAGCTGACCTCTCCGGCATTACCTTCACTGGGCAAGCTGCCATCTCCAAGCACATTTCATGGCCACTTCTCCCCATCTAGGCATTGCTCCAGTGAGCCAGCCATAAATATGTGAGGGCAGGGTGCAGCATCCGTAAACCACAAGTACAGTCAACGGATTAACCAACTCTTCTTGCAGGGAAGGTGACCGCAGTTGGCTGCTCCTCCAATGGCAGGATATTTTGAGCTGCTGCTTGAGTGGGAAGGGGAGGCAGTTGGTTTAAAAACTGCCTCAGAGGTTTCCACCAGGGAATTTTCAGGCAGGGAGGCAAAGTTGAAGTGCTTTTAACTGCCCAGACAATGGGGGGTTGAGAAAGAAGGGAAATGCATTGCTTAGATACTCTTCTTGGAGCTGTTTAACAGAATTAAATGGAAAACGTACAATGCTTACAAATATTGCTGTGTTTTTATTAAAGATTTTTAGTAGAAAGTGCTTTACTGATGTTAAGAGAGCTTTTATAAACTAATTATAAAGCACTTCTAATGCCTGTATTACTCATGCTTGCTTGCTTTTTTCCTCCAGTCAATCCTCTCTGCTTCCCAGTCTTTCCTTTCTATTTTCCCTAAGTCACTTTGCCATTGGCTCTCCAAACGAGTCTGCAAGGCACAATAAAGGCAAACAAGCCCCTGTTGCAGTGATTATGAGAAGACCTCCACCTTTTCAGTTCTTTTCTGTTGTGAAACAGCTAATCGGCTCCCTGACCACTGAGCCGTGCTCCACCATCCCCCGAGGCCAGCACAGACCTCCCAGGTGCCCACCCAGGCACTGGTGAGATCCAGAAATGCTACAACCCACCTGGGGAGCAGGACTAGAAAGCCTGTGCCATTCCTCTGGCTGCTCCTCTCCTGCACACAACTCAGCACAAAGCACAGTTTTGGGACTCATGCTGCTCCACACATAATCAACAAACCTATTGCCCCTCAGCCTCAGGTCCTTAGAGATGCTGAGTCCTTCTCCACTGAAACATGTTTTAAGGACATTACAGGGACATTATCTTAGGATGGATAGAAACACAAACAACGAACCATTTATATGTTCACAGCCTTAACATGAGTCCTTCTAATACATAAACTTGTGCAAGCCTTGCTTCAAAGCCCAAGGAGGGTTGGCTCCCCAGACCAAGCTCTGACCTAGCTAGCAGCTTTCTCAGTCTCTTCTTAGAGCTATGATTTGAAGTAGCTGAGGGCTAGCACACAGCTAAGCCCGGTTTCCAGCGCTTGCCAGGGCCGGAGAGAGTCGCAAGACCCTAACCTGAACTTCCCCAATGTTTAATTTGGAGCTGTTATTTATAGGCATTTCCATGGGGCTCATGACTGCACCTGGCAAACAGTAATGATGGGATCCTCATGAGCCCCTGGGAGGTGGGAAGGCAGAGAGGAGCAGTGGCTGGCCCAAGGTCACACAGGAAGTTTGCAGCATGGCCAAGAATAGAAGCCAGCCTTGATTAGACAGATTGTATTATATTGGACAAGTCCGGCCTAGATAGACAGAGAGACAAATAGATACTGACTGCATGCCAACAGCCCCAAATTTGGGAATGCCTAGGGTTGACTTGAGCCTTCGAGACCCCTGGTCTGCTTGAACCATATGTCACAGTGTCTCAAATGCATCTGCTGAGAATAGGGAAAGAAACTGCAATTCTAGTGAAATTCAGCAGGCATTAATACTCTGCAGGTAGCTGGGGGAAGGCATGGGGAACCTGCTTAGCCAGAATGGCAGCTAGTAAATGCAATTGTTCCCTTTGAAAAGGCAGCGCATGATTTGTTTCTCAGAAATTGTTATAAAAAGCTTAAGGTTTTTTAAACAT